AACGGTGTCCCACTCATACGAAATCCGCTCTATTAAAAAAGCAATGGACTTCTGTATTTTGTATGCAACTTTACAGTACAACTTTACTCAAATACACCAACATTTGCTTTTCAGCTTTGGACTCGTAAAATCCAGAATTCATCGACTGTGGACGTTGGTGACGATATCTGCCATCTTACTCTTGACATCATTGGTAAAACCTCGTTTGGCTATGGCTTTAATACAGTTTTGGGAAAAGAAACGGAGGTTTCGACAGCTTTCAATACGTTGCTCAATGGTGCTGAGTTCGGTTACGTAGTTCGTTCCAGAATGATTCCATTCTATAGATATTTGCCATTTTCTGACAACCTCGCCATCAAGAAGTCAATTAGTCTTGTGAACAGTACTGTTTTTAAGGTATGATTTCTCTAAATCAGTCTTTATAAATCTTTAGAATCATTGAAAATGATGTTTTCTTGCTAAAATTCAAGGCTTTTCGAAAAATTGTGATTGCTTAAAAAGTGAGTAAAATGAAGACGAAGGATTTTGTTAAATTGTTGTTCCGAGGGGCCCTTTTAAATCACCTTTGAAATTTAATCGTTTTCAACCATTCCCATGAGATTCAAAATATCAAAGCCCGGCGGCCATGTTGGATAAGTTCCTCCAAGATGGCCGCTATGAAATAACCTGAAAACGAAGAATAGAGTGGTTTTGATATAACGAGATTCGCTTGAGTTGCACAAACAGTGTTCTCCATGACGGCCCTGCTTCATTTGTCGAGTTTTGTCCTGAATTTTATCAGTTTTCTTTGGATCAAATTTTATTTAGTGTTTCTTCTTGAAAGGTTATTAATGAAAGGCGCATGCTCCGAGAGCAAGGTAAAGCAGCTGACCACAAGGACCTTCTTAACTTGTTGCTTGAAATGTATGATGAAGAGACTGGCGCTGGTTTTGATGACGAAGAACTGCGGGCTCAAGTCTTTACGTTCATGCTAGCGGGACACGAAACAACGAGTACATCATTGTCATGGACGCTGTATGAGTTGGCTAAAAATCCTGAAATACAGGACAAAATACGACAAGAAATCAAGGTACATCTTGCAAATGTAATGATCCACTGTGTTGTTGATCAGCGTACATTGTGTTTGTTAAGTTGTTGTTGTTTTGTTTTGCTCGGGTGGTTACCTTGGTTACTTCGGCTTCATGGACCACGCCCAATTATTACCCTTTTTCACAGGGTGTTCTTAAAGAGGGAGAGGAACTGACCTGGACCAAGCTAGATCAGCTTGAATACCTTGGTTGTATGATCAAAGAGTCTCTGCGTCTTCATGGACCTGCTTCCTTTGTTGGCAGGGAAACCAATCAGACCGTACATATTGGTGGCTATGAGATACCGAAAAACACATTTGTTACAGTTCCAATCGATGCTCTTCACTTGTCACCTGACCTTTGGGAAAACCCTTTGGACTTCATTCCTGAAAGGTTTATGAAAACAAGTGAGTGACTCGATGCTGTACTGTACTATTTGAGATCATAATTCAGGCTTTTGGGCGAGCAATGATAGTAGTGTTAAGTTTAATACTAGGAAACCTTAATAGCCTTCTTCACGGTTCCCTTCGCCATCTTGAAAGGTAGCCGTGCCTTTACATCGAAGCGAGAAAACTGTTGAGCATGCAATGATAGATACCTGTGAATAATTGTCTGTAGGTGTGAAAGAAGGTTTCTATCATTGCACGCTCAACAGTCGTCTAACTACCTTTCAAGAAGGCGCAGAGAACCGTCAAGGAGACGATTCCACCGAATGACTGCGTTGTTACATTTTGAAATGCAGTGAGCCCAACGTATGAGAAAATTTATTGATTCAGTGTGCTATCTTAATTGACAAAAGTTTAAACAGGTCACTATTTTTCCTATTTTTTTGACATAAACTCACCATTTTTTACTGTTATTGTTATCAGACGCGTCTCCAATGAACCAATATCCCTTTCTGCCTTTTTCGTTTGGTCCTCGTATTTGTATCGGTTACAAGTTCGCCATGGCAGAGATGAAGACCATAGTACTTACTTTGATGAAGAACTTCAAGCTCACCGCTGTTCCTGGATTCAAAGTGAAAAGTTTTATGAAGCTCACGACCAAGCCAGATCCCAGTGTAAAAGTTCAAATATCTTTGTTGCATTGAAACACAGCAACTATTGAATGCCTTCATCAACAAATGGATATTCTCTGATTCTTACAATTTTGAACTTCAACATATTTGAATGTTCAATTTATGAGTAAATTGCCATTTTCATTGCCCAGAAAAAAAGTTTGATAATTTAGCTTATTTAATTAATTTGAAGGTTTTGTGACTGGACAGTCTCTTGTATCTGTTGAACATTCTTTTGTTTCAATGTCATGAAGTCCTTGTAAGGGGATTTTGAAGTACGCACTTTCAACATGGTGCTCCACCACCTTTAGAGATGATGCGATAATCAGCAATGCATTTCGGTATAAACCCAAATTATTGGGGGGCCAGTGCCCCCCCCCCCCCCCCTGGTTCCGCCGTCTATGGTTGGTGAGCGCAGCGTACGGCCTTTGAGTGTTCAACTTTTTTTGAGACTTCTTTTCTTTGCGGGGTTTTTTGTGTGTGTTCGTCAAAATGTTGAATAATATACTATTTTTCTTGTTTCATGTGATCAAACTTTAAAATAATTAAAAAATTCCAAGCTATGGATGTTCGGTTGAATGTCGATGAACTCCTTYAAATCTCTAAAAGACTGAATGAAGCGAAAACGTTTTTGTCTGTAACGGCTGGGACCAAGGTCGTTCAAGGTCATTGGTCCCGGGTTTCATCATATACACTTTATTGAATCACGTTAAGACTGTAGATTGAACGTGACTATAAAATGGATGCATTCGAATACAATAAAATGTGAAAAAGAAGAACTAATTTTATACAATGTTACTGACTTATATGTGCAAAGATATTTAAAAGTTACAACTAAAGAAAACGTGACCTAAAACGTATGCAATGCGTAACACAACGAAACTGAGTTCATTTACGTACACAGTATTGTTATCGATGATGTCATGTTAAAAGCCTATCTTCGGTATAGTCGATTTATTTCAAGTCTAAAGACAGAGCTATAAACAYTTAGACATGATTTCCGAGTTTCTTCATATGCTGTTTCATGACCTACAACCATTGASATGGCAGTCTTTGATCTTTGCTGTCATAGCTGCCCTAGTTGCTTGGATTGTTTATGAAGTCATCCAAGAAAAGCTTTCTCCSTTGAGCAAGATTCCTTCTCCTCCTGGCCGCCTTCCTTTCTTTGGGCATCTTTTTCCCTTGTGGAAATATGGTGGTCCATATTTTGCGTTTAGGGAATGGGAAGGTCGATACGGACCTATTATTGCGTATAGACCTGCATTTGGAAGTCGAAATGGTAAGTAATGGAGTATCAAGAGGGGAGTCTAATTCAGTTTATATTTACTTAAAATTTGTTCATGAMGGAATTGGTTTAAGAGATTCTTAACATTATAAGAATAAATAGGACATTAAATGTCTAGCTTGAGTTAATCCAGAGTTTACTCGTAAATAAACCGGATGTACGCAGACTATTAAATGTCACGATAAGAGCAAAAGCTCGTAATGTTTATTGTAATGTAGAGCAAACACAGGAAAACCATGAAATAAAATTAAACTAAATACTAACAAATAGCAACTAGAGTCATTTTCATCCGTCTGTGAAATAGGAATTGTACTATTAAAAATACTATTACCCCATAGACATGCGACGCAAACTAATTAGGCAAACACGGCTTTGATTTTGCATTTTGGTAGCCTACTACACACTAATAGTTACTATTAAATACTGATTAGTAGTAATTGTTTCACAGACGGATGAAAATGACTCTGTTATGAGACCAATTGTCAGTATTAATGAACCAGAACGCAATCAAAATGAATTAAAATGGTCCTATGTGATTCATCTTCATTATGTTCTGGTTCATTGATACTGACAAGCTGTCTCTGAATAGCCACTATTTGTTAGTATTTAATTTGATTTTATTTCATGGTTTTCCTGCGTTTGCTCTAATGTTTTTTGATTTCTGATTTTTGATTTCTAAATGTGCTGATCAACGCAGGATTTTTAACGATGACAGTATTTATTTGTATTAGATGTGGGATAACAAACGTGCTTTGTATAGTGATTCGCGCATGATCACCAAGAATCTCAACGGGTTTGAGTTTTTAACTATTGTTATCAGAAACCTATAATGGAGTTTTCAACTCACTCCCTTATGGGTTTCTGGTGTTATATAAACATTAAAAAACATGAGCCGTAGACAAGAACCATTCCTTCTATGTATATTCGAGAAAACCGGATCAATTTATAAAAAATTCGGACCATTCTCAAACTCATGTCATGACTATGAAAATTTATAGGCAAAAAAATTTAATCAACTTATCATCTTATTATCTATAAAATTTACTTTCATATGTAAATATATGATAAACAGAATATTACATGGTCGCTTGGATATACGAATTGTATCAGTTCTCTCCGATCAAATTCGTATCTCCGCGCGCCCATGTAATATCCTCTATATATCTTATTCTAGAACGTGTTGTCGTTTTCGATAAAGACCTCGTCAGGCAAGTCATGGTATCAGAAAGCCACAAATACAAGAGACCAGAWTTCCTCAAAGTGATTATACCAGGAATTGGTAATGGTTTATTTGCATCAAGTGGTAAAGTGCATGCAAAACAGCGGAAAATGATCAACCCTGCCTTCAGTTTAACGAATTTGAAGACGTTTGTGCCCGCATTCGTTGAGTCGGCGGCAGAACTAGTCGAGGTAGGCTTCAAGGAAGAAGGCAGCRGTCAAGTCTTCCTATTGAAGACAATGAGACCGTAGTAATTGCGTAATTAATTGCGTTAGAGACGAGATTTGACTATTCCCACGAATCTCCCTTAGTTTGACATTATTGTTCATTTTCGTGTATTCTTTTGAGATTTCAATTCAATAAACAATACTGAAGTCAAGTGAAGAACACCAGAACTTTAATTGTGCTAAAATCTTTACTCAAATACACCAATATTTGCCTTTCAGCTTTGGACTCGTAAAATCCAGCATTCATCGACTGTTGACGTTAGTGACGATATCTGCCATCTTACTCTTGAYATCATTGGYAAAACYTCGTTTGGYTTTGGCTTTAATACAGTTTTGGGGAACGATACGGMGGTTTCGAAAGCGTTCAACACGTTACTYAATGGYGCAGAGTTCGGTTATTTGCTTCGTGCTAGAATGATTCCATTCTATACATATTTGCCCTTGCCAGACAATCTTATCATCAAGAGGTCTCTCTGTCTTGTAAACAATACTGTTTTTAAGGTAGGATTTCTAAATCAGATTATATCTCCTTCGCGCGTTCTGGCCGAATATTACCCATAGCCACATCACCCCCCAAGCATACATCATATTTGTAAAATTACTCTCTGACTTTTATCCCAAGAGATCATGGTAGTCACATGTAGGGCAGTCATCTATCAGCCTCTCGCAGTTTGTAGGTAGTTATTCCATATATATATCCGTGTCGTAATAGTGGCAATCGCGATATGGTCTTTTTGTCCAAGGTTGGAAAAAAAAAAACTTTAATAAGCGGCGGCCATTTTGGAGAAAGACCCTCTATTCAGAACAAAATAATAATAATTAAAATACTAAAAATAATAATTATCAAATTGTTGTCCCTAGAAGCTCTTGAATTAAACTTAGGTACTTTTCATTCCATAACGCACGTGCAAAATGATCTCCATGGCTACGGCCCTGCTTCATTTCGTTTCCAGTTCCGTCCTGAATTGACCGTTTACTTTGAATGCTAAGTTCATTGTGTGTTTCTTCTTTGAAAGGTTATTAATGAAAGGCGCATGCTCCGAGAGCAAGGTAAAGCAGCTGACCACAAGGACCTTCTTAACTTGTTGCTTGAAATGTATGATGAAGAGACTGGTGCTGGTTTTGATGACGAAGAACTGCGGGCTCAAGTCTTTACGTTCATGCTGGCGGGACACGAAACAACAAGTACATCACTGTCGTGGACGTTGTATGAGTTGGCTAAAAAACCTGAAATACAGGACAAAATACGACAAGAAATCAAGGTACATCTCGTACCCAGAGCCCGCACTTTTGACATCCAGCGGAAATCAATGCGTGAGAGACTCTGGTGACGCGAGCTCTCATTRTTTTCAAGTCACAAGCGCGCGCTCGCCTCATTAGTCAAAAAARTCATACTTTTCTTGCATAACCACACACTTGTTTTCACACATTTTTGTTTTGAAAATGTGTAAATACCGTTCCTAAACTAAGTTGTGTGCTAAAACTTTTTTGTCATTTTAATGCTCTAAAAGTAGAAAACAAAATTGACCTCATTAGCATAATTTGCGACGGAAAAGCGTCGCAAATCCAGTCGATTCTTTCCGGTGTCAGCATACCGCTGACATTAGCCGTGCTGGGCTCGAGATTGATGTTGTATAACCATTGTGTTACTGATCAGCGGTCATTGTCTTTGTGAGTGCGCTTGAATATGTTTCCAACCACCAGCATTAAGTTGTACGATTCCCAAAGGTGTAATTTTGTGGTTACCTTGGGTACCACCTTGTCTGAAGTGACGTGGTTCCTCGTTGAATGAGACGACACGCCCAATCTCATCGATGTTACCCTTTTTCACAGGATGTTCTTAAACATGGAGAGGAATTGACCTGGACCAAGCTAGATCAGCTTGAATATCTTGGTTGCGTCATCAAAGAGTCTCTGCGTCTTCATTCTCCTGCATCTTTTATCGGCAGGGACACCAATCAGACCGTCCATATTGGTGGCTATGAGATACCAAAAAACACATTTATTGCACTTCCAATCGATGCTCTTCACTTGTCACCTGACCTTTGGGAAAAACCTTTGGACTTCATTCCTGAAAGGTTTATGAAAACAGGTGAGTGACWTTTTGTACCCAAACGTTACGTGTTGAAATAGTTAAAGATTTCAAGTGGGCTTTCCTGAGATTGAATCCACGGTTGACAATGTGTTGGGCCCRCATTKTCTTCCATAAACTCACTTTTTTCTGTTATTGTTTTTAGATGCTACTCCAATGAACCAATATCCCTTTCTGCCTTTTTCGTTTGGTCCTCGTATTTGTATCGGTTACAAGTTCGCCATGGCAGAGATGAAGACCATAGTACTCACTTTGATGAAGAACTGCTCACCGCTGTTCCTGGATTCAAAGTCAAAGGTTTTATGAAGCTCACGACCAAGCCAGATCCCAGTGTAAAAGTTCAAATATCTTCGTTGAACAACAGCAGCTGAACGTCTCTACCATATTCAAAACAGGCCATTTTCTTCCTGGACTTCAATGAACGTTTATAAAAGAGATTCAAAGTTTAGTTTTGTGAATTTTTTTCAAATGATTGTTGTTATTGTGATTATCCTTCCAAGAAAAGATTTAGATAACTTAGCTTCATTCTTTCTTTCTTTAGTTTTCTTTTGAAATAGTAGCTGGCAGGTTGTATTAGCTAAATGTTTTGATGACAAGTTTGTATAAAAAATATGAGTAGATTTGATCAAAACTTGTAGTGTAGAAAGCGTGTACGAAGCAACTTGGTGTTCAAAGTGATAGAATTAAATTGTTTTATTGGTGATATAGCAGATGTACATGTAGTGTGTGGTCAGGCTTTACTGACACCACATCAAACATACTGAGCTGGTAAAGATCTCTCGCCCCTCGTGTCAGAGTGTGGATAGTCTTGTGTCTGTAGACATAGCCATATTGTGCGATTTCCCTGGGGAAAACAATTCATATTTGTCAGAAGCTTCCAAAGTTTTGAAACTTTGAACAAATTTGAAGACATTTGTGCCTGCATTTGCTAGGTCAGCGGCAGAACAAGTGGAGGTATGATCGTGTTTCCAGTGAAAATGAGTCGTCTTTTGCTTTTGCTGATTTATTAGAAGGGTATTCACATTCCATAACAATAACATAGCCATCCTTAGAGGTTAGAGTAGAGACACTTAATCATAATCGAGAAAAAGTTATCTTTGACCATTTTTAGTGCTTTGACCATTTTTAATGCTTTGACATTAATTTCATCTTCCTTCTCCAAGCACGTGACGGTTCCATGTTGTGATTGCGTGACCACCCTTGTGGATACATTGCATGTTTGCATACTAAAAAGGCTTCAATTCATCGACCATGATATTTTAGCACGATTGATTATCTGTACATAGTTAGAAGTAGATGGTCTGTAATTTACCTAAAATCCAATCAAATTGAGAAAAGAGCAACAAGAAAGTAGACAAATGATCCTCGAGTTTCTCAACGAGATTTTTCGTCGTCTACAAACACTAACATGGCATTCTGTGATTCTGACCTTAATCGCCTGTTTCGCTGCTTGGGTCATCCATAAAATTATTCAAGAAAAACTTTCACCTTTGAGCAAGATTCCTTCACCTCCTGGTCGACTTCCTTTCTTTGGGCATCTTTTTACTTTGATTAAGGCGGGCAGTGCACATTATAAGGTACAAGACTGGCATGGTAAATATGGCCCTATCATTAGGTTTAACTCAGGATTGGGCTTTGGAATCGGTGGGTATCATAGACTTACATTTTTGAATATTGATGCCTTTCTAAAGATACGATTATTCCTAATTGAAAAGTATGCAAGATATATAACCGACAAGTGAATTTTATATATCGCGTCTATGTACATGTCTCTGTTCCTTTATAAATCTATTTCAAACTAGACGCTCTGGGAGCGTGAAGTCGGACTAGCTGCTTGTGAAAATTGAGAAAGACAGGATATTACATGGATAAAAATATTTCTTAACTTTTTTTTCCAAAACAGCCGAACTCACGGTCTAATAAGAGCGTCTAGTTCAAAATATGCAAAATTTATTAACTTGACCTATTAACGCGATAAGAACGTGGATTGATTTGACTGATAAAATCAACTACGCTCAGACAAATGTCTCGCTAAGTGATATGATATCTAAAACGTTGACCTCTCAGGCAAAGAAAATAAAAACTTTACAAGGAAAAAAGATGCCTATAAAATCATTAAATTCGCCTTTCTGTTATTGATAAACAAAGTTTCTTCTTGTTCTAATTTGAAATCTTTGCACCCACAAGACTGTCTAACACTAGAAAGGATATTGATTCAGTTTTGTAAGCATACAACTCGAAACTCTATGCGATCTGCACATGGGCGTACTTCTAATGCCTAGACAGACGCATTCCGATGAGATCACAGATACCACATTTGTAAACGAATAGTTTTTTTGTCATATAAAAGCCAAGTAGCATATAACATTTACTAACGATATTCGTACATCAATACGCTTGAGCTTCCGGTCATGTAATAACACAGCCAACCCAATAGTTAATTATTAAATTCTTAACTTCCGGTGGTCCAAACGCGACATGACACATAGATAGATAGATAGAT